TTAAATAAAAAAGAGAAAGAAATTGACAATTTAAAAAGTACATGTTATACTGATGCAAGTAATCTTGCTGATACATGTATTTTCCTGTTTGTTTTTTCCAAAATAGGCAGAAATTTCAGGAATTTTCAATTTCTATTTCAGAGTTTTGGAACATTTACAAAATTGAATAAATTATTTTATTGCATACAGTAGAAGAAGTAATATAACATATGAAAGGGAAGAAAAAGTGAAAAACAAAAAGGCTATTTCATGACTTATAATTGAACTGTGCAATTTCTTTTCGTAGCAATTTCAAAGTTTAATTTAATTTCTTTCAAAATTTAATTCAATTTGTACAGATGGTACGACAACATATAAATATGCGCATTCACAAAAAAATGATCCCATATGTGAATCTGCACGTATAGTTTTTTTTTCTTTTTTAAATAATCTTTAGCAAAGAAACAAAAGTCTCAGAATCGACGAATAACCTAACATTTGAATAATAGCATTTGAACTTCTTTTTTCTTGAGCAAAGTGGCGACAATTTGCGACAGATGTTGCTGATCACATTTCTACCACATGAAACAATTTATTTGTTTCAAAAATGGTTCCATCAGCTCATCCTACACAATTCTTCATGTGTCTTTTCAAGGACATCCGCAGGAAAGTTTTGCCGCATTTTCAGCTAAATCTGAGCCTATTATTGTCATGAATCTTCATGTGAAGTTTCATATTATTTGATTGCGAGAATTTTTTATTGCACACAGAACAAGCGTACGGTTTTTCATTGGTGTGAGTCCTCGAATGCCTAAGCCGATTCGATGAATCGGCGAAATTCATCCCACATTTCGAACAACTATATGGTTTCTTACCGGTATGAATGCTCATATGGTTAAGCAAACTCCCTTTCCCGGTGAAATTCCTCGTGCATTCCGGACAAGAAAACGGCTTCTCACCGGTATGAGTCCTCACATGTACACGTAAATTCCATGACGAAATGAACCTCTTCGCACATGTTTCGCATTTGAACCGCTTTTCAACCGTGTGAGTCGAACGCTCTGGATGTTCCCTTTTGATGTTACCTTTGTTTCCCTTGGACTGTTTCCTTTCGATTAATTGGATGTTGGACGTTTCATTTTGATATCTCTCGTTGGACGTTTCATTTTGAAACCTCGCAAGCCAGATTTTCTTCGGCATATTTCCTATACTTGTTTGTTCCCTTCTCACTTCTTGAATTGGTGCGTTCAACGAGTTTGGGTCATTCTGATCAATTTCCTTGAATTCTATTTGTTCCTCTCTCACATAAGGCGCTGATAGAGCTGATGGTCCAATCCGTCGTTCATACATTCCTGACATTGACAAACCCAACGGTTCCTTTTGTGGCTCCTCAAATTATATGAAGTTATCAAGTTTGAACTGCGCTAAAATTTTTAAACCTTGGAAATATTGCAGCGTTATCTTCTATTCTTTAACTTTAAATGAACTTACGATAGTTTGAGTGTCACTCAATTGGAAAAGATGAAAATGATACAGATGAAATGCATATTAATGAAAGTT